TAGTTCGAGCCTCGGCAAGGCTCGGCATACCGGTCGGCCGAGGCTCGGACTTGATAGCTGGGCCAAGTACTGGTGGTTTAACTGGGTGAAGTGAAGGAGGAAAAAAGACGTACAAGGGTCACCATGGATCAGGATGGGGAGGAGGTCGTTGAGTAACATACTACTCCTTGCCTCGGCTAAGCAGGGTGGGAGGCAGCAGGATTGGGTATCATGCTTTCTAAGAGTGCCTCAATGCTCAGGCCTATTAGGACTGACAGAGGGAAAGAAGCAAATGAGATGGTGGCCTGTTAATGATAAGTCTGGCCTGATTGGGAACTGGGGTAGGATGGTGGTGTAGTACCGATTGCTTATTTGCAGTAGCCTGGATTTCTCCCTGTTGGCACTTGGTTGGAATCCAGTAAATTACAGTCGCAGTCATTGATCACAAATATTCTTGCAGATCACTGCCGAAGCCGGGTATGGCCCCGGTATTTTTACTTGGTCTGTGAATCTTCCATAAGGGACGCTGGGCCCGGCTCCCGGCACGTGCTGCTCCCCACAAATGGAATGGAGCACCCCCACAAATGGAACGGAGCACTGTTCCCCCCCCCCAAAAAAAAGTCTGGGGGCCTCCACTTGAGTAGGTGATGAAGAGGCAATCTGGTTGGTGGGCAGCTGCACATGCCGGAAATCGGGTCCAGCGTCCCTTGTGTTACAACCGTGTGAAAGACAATTATTAGACCCTAATATGTACATCGCAATTGTCTATTCATGTGTGTCATCCTTGCGGAGGGGCCGTACTAATGTTCTCCGCATAGTTCCAATTAAAAAAGAAAAAAGCGGGAAACTACGCCGAAGTCACAAAAATGAGTTATAATTGCACTATGGGCCAAAATACAGTTTCGAGTTGCCGTTCAGACAATGTATACAACCCAGCTTTCTGGCCAGATAGGGTGCCCTACCGCATGTGCAATTGCAAACTGTATCTTGACCCAGTCTGCAATTATAACTCGTTTTAAATTTGTGATATACAACCCAGCAGGTAGGGTGCCCAAAGTGCAAAAAAAAAAAAAAAAAAAAAAAAAAGTGCAATCGCAAACTGTATCTTGTCCGATAGTGCAATTATAACTCGTTTTTGTGACCCTACTGAGGTTACCCCCCCCCAAAAAAAAAGAGGTCTCCGCCTGCCTCTCTCAAACATCTCAAGCATTCGAGAGTAGACCTCCGTTCTGCATAAAACAGTCACACTTCTCTTTGTCTTCTTCTGTTTCTTTACTCTTGGAGGAATTAGAGAGTCCCCGCCTTTTGAAAGTGGAGCAGTGAGCAGTTCTCTGGCTGTTCCAAGAGTCCAACCCTTCTCGAAGGACTCTTGAAAGTTTTCCCGAGAAGAGAGTAGTGGAGCAAGACCTCATGTTTTCACATCTTTGACTCAGGACTAGGACACAAACTTTAAGATGCTTTGCGGCATCGTGAGTTGTGAGATGACCCAAACTTCACGAAAACACGAGTTTGGCGAGTGGTGTGGAATGGCCCCATGCCTGGCATGGCCTTCATTGCTCAGTTTTTCCATCTGGCGTCCTCTGAACGATGTGGAGTGAAGGCACATTGAATAGAAGACATGTGGGATGATACTACAGTATAATATCATTTATATGAAATTATATCCTGCATATCCCTTAAATCCGTTTCTTTTAATAGTCGAAGAAAAGACTTAGTTCAATTTCAATTCGCATTCAATCAATCTACCATGGACGAGTTTGCTTCATACGGTGATGGATGCAAATCTGGTCGATCAAGCGTAGCAAGAACGACAGTTGTCAAGAAGACAAAACACTTATAACATGATGAGACGACAGAACGACAGGACAGACGACAGAACAACAAGACCAAACACGACAGGTGTCCCCGAACGCGACAATATTAAGGTAAAAACATGAAGTACAATAGCGGACTGACCCAATTGGTTTCGCCTAGCCGCTACTAGGCTCATCAGGGGTCTTAGCAATTCGGTTGTTGGACACACTGACTTGTAAAGACTTATATACTACCAAAAACTATACTAAAGTCAGCGAACCACCTACAGGCTAAAATTGCTAAGCCGGCCTACAATCCTCTAGGACTGAGTCCCATAGTAGTCACGTTCCACAAATAAGAATTCTCTCGAAGCTTCCGTAACACCGCTTAGACCTACTGAACCTCTCAAAACGTCCCACCCTCGGCTCAGGCCCCTGCAAACTTTTTCGAAAACTCCGAACCACAGTTCAAACCAACTGAATGTCTCACAAAATACTCTTTTGTATCGACTTACCGACCCCATTATCAAAAGCCAATCCAAGGTACCCCATATATGAACTTGTTACCCCCTAAACCGAGGGCAAATCTCATCAACCGATGCCTACCCCATCTGACCCCTTCCACATCACAAAACCAAATCCCAATTTGTCAACACCGGAATCCACTTTTTCCATATCCCGGCGAACTTCCTAGAAAAAATTATCAATGCTTCATCAAAAAAATCATCCGGATAGCCCCTGTGCCACAACTATATTTTAAGAGAAACCAGAAAGGGAACAACCAAACCTTTAACCGAGGAAAAAACCTTCCCCCTATGCAGGAACGACGATATCACCGCCTTCTTCTGTTGTTCACTCGAAAAAGAGACAAAATCCTGAATACATTGAAATCTCGGTTTATCATTGACATTCTCTTTCTGATTCTTGGTCATTGGGAAGCATAGTACCCCGGTGACGTCGTTGAACACCTTGAGAACACAACCCAGATATTCCCAGCTATTACCAAAGCTTGTTCGTTCCAGCATCAAATTGGAATCGTAGCAGTCGCCAAACAATTCGATCAGATCAATCCCTTTCTCCAGTGAACACCTGTCATCATTTTTACATACCACAAAAACCGAAACGTCGTCGAGTAACCTGCAGCCTCGAAATAATTTTCGGTCATTTCCCAAACCCGAAAGAAACTTGTACTCATTGAATGCGCATAAGAGACATGCTAGCGCCGGACTAGTCGACTTCCCCATTGGTATGCCCAAATTTTGCTTCAACATTTGTCCTGCCGCCCAAACATACGTATTATTTAATTCAAAAAGAACAAATGAAATAATCAACTCGAATGCAACATACTTCCAACCCAACTCACATTTCCCAAATAGCACTTTCGCTCCTTTACCTTGTTGTTTAACTCCAACTCCCCTGGCTCCTTTACCAATCTAAAACTCAACCGACCATTGCACCGCATCCAAAATTGAGTGATGGGGTAGGTTAGAAAACATGTCTTTGATGTCAAATGAAGCCCCGAGAAGAAAAGTTGACTCAGTTAATCCATCATTGACTTCCCTCAATTTGTTGAGCAGTAGATCAGCACTTCGCAGATTAAGGTTACTGCGAGACGACAAACTCCATAGGATAGCATTAATAGCCTTTGCGACTACTCGTCCTCCTCTAACAACACATTCCGAATGTGACGGACAAATTGATCTCCACCTCGTAACGTCCTTGTGCTTTGGGATACCATATGCGAACCCAAATTCCCCATCTTTGTTCCATCGTCCTACCGAGGTCAACTCCCGAGCACGATAATCCTCAGTCATTCTCTCAACAACCTCCTCCTTTTTTACCGAACAAATGTCAAACGCTGGATTTGCTAAAAACAACTTCACCATCCCACCCTTGTAAACCTGTGGACAACAAATGAATGTATCACCTAAGTTATGGTCAATCAGACAACAGACCAAATCAGACAACAGCTGATGGAACAGATGAACATCGTTTTCGCTAACACCAGTCTGAGTACCCTGATTACTGCCAATAAAACCTTTAACATCGTTAACAGAAAGTAACGTATTGGTCAAAGGAGGAACGGACGGGTGGTCAGAAAAGGCGCTTCGAATCTGCGAACGTAAACACTCTGTTTGTCATACTTTCCTTGGTCGGACCACATTACGAGAATTCATCATCCAATCAGGAAAAATTCCTCTCAACTCACCAATACGACAACAAACATACCCTCCTGCTCTCGGCAAACCTGGGTAACTATTCTTCATGCATGAGCATTGCGGGTCCTCCTCCCGAGCAAACTTCCTAAAATTATGTATGATATCACCAATACTCCTATTTTTGCACCACACAACCCGCATTCGCCGAACCAACATATCCTTCCAACTAATTGGCAAATCCAACCGACCAAGCATCCATGCACCCAGTTGTCTAATTCTCGCCTTGCTGACGGTATCATCATAACGCACCCGAATAACCAATCTCTTTCGTACGTGAATACCAAACCGGAATAAGACATGATATGATAATATAGATCGTAACTGAAACCTCGTTCTCTTTTCACTGAATGTACATACTGTTGTGTACGCTATAATCAAGCGGTCAAACTACCGCTGCTACAACCTTTTTCTCGAACCGGGATTCGCCAACAATTCTGCCAAAGGTACTTTCAACAACAATGACCTACTCAAAAACTGCCTAATTGTGACGAAAGTCAACGTTACCCCTCCCCTCAACCATTCCCTGGCATAGCGAAGTTCTTTACATCCGAATGCACACCTCACAAGACTCCCACCAAAAGTCCGTTTCAAGATCTTCCACTTGTCAACAAGCAATTGTCCTCCAGTGCATCGAACAGAAATCGAACCTACATGGTTATCAACACACTTCCTTAATATCGTAAGTAAACTAACGGAAGGCGTAGAATCCTCCGAACAAAAAGAACAAACCAAACCACCACCAAACCTCAAACACTGACCATCGTGAATCCGTCTGTCAACTCCCTACTGTATTTTCCTTTTCCTACGTAGTCTTTCCCTTAACCCAGGTCTGTTCCTACGTGCTCGACGTGGTTTATCTTGAGTATTTAGCGACGGACACAAATGACCTATAAAGAATTTTTCTGTGATCGCCAATTCACTAGCATCACATTTGCACAACGGTATAATGACATAATTCGAAATACCACAACGCCTTAACCATTGGTATAATCTCTCATTCCGTTTCCCCTTCTCAATTGCCTGTTTATTACTGCTTCTATACACATGCTCCCTCCAACGGCTATGCAAATCCATGCTCGTACTGCCAACATACACGTGTTTGTACCAAGGCGACACAAGTGCATAAACCACCGGCCCATCCCACGCATCAATCCTACATTGTCGAGACGTCGACCATACATCCGCAATAGAACTAAACAACTTGCCTCCCCATGGAATCAGCCCAAGAAAAATCAAACAGCACACCAAAAAACTCATCAAATAATTGACCGCCTTGCATCTCAACCACGAGCTATTCTTCAAACGTAATCGTTGACAAGAAACGACCAGTTTCCAAAGCCAAGCCGCGTCGGGGAGAGATCCTATGATTCAGCAGAATCACACGCCCCATCCTTACTGAGTTTTTCCTCCCCATCGGTAACCTCCACAACCGTGTCCGGCTTACCTAAATCTCGACTTGATTCTTCCTCAGCTACGGCCTTATCTGCTCGAGCCTGCGCCAACGCTTCCTTTGAAGCATCCAAAATAGTATACGGAACTCCCTCGTCTTCACAAAGGCCGACAACAGCATCCTTCTTCAAGTTGCGGAGCTCGCGCCTAGCTGCTTTGAGTGCAGCTTCTCTTTGGCTGACCAGAATAACGGGCGACGCCGCTGCCACTTTGGTTTTAGAACCAGAAGCTCCTGCCACGGCATCCATTTTCTTTCGCAAGTTCGTTCCTCGTTTCTGACCTGTTCGAAGACGTGCCATTTCTTCCTTAAGTCGCTCTACTTCTTTCTCAGATTCTTTTCTTGCATTCACTTCCTTCAGTCTCATCTCTCTCAACAGCTCCACCTCTTGCTTATTGCGATCGACAACTTCCTTAAGTTGCTGATTCACTCTCCCGGCAGGACATGGTGTTTGCAAGGGAGTTGTTCGCGGGCGAACTCGAGCTTCAGACGCAGGGGTCGACCCGACAACCACCGCCCCTCGCTTGTTGCCTGGTCGCAACGCTTCACACCTCCACACTTCAGCGTTGGCTTCAGCCACCTCACACTGTTTCTGAAGAGCCACAATTACCTCTTTCATTGCGGCCAAACGCTTCTCCATAGTAGTCTTCGCCATTTCTTGTTCACATCTCAGTCGAACAATCTCCTCCGAATCCTTCGCAAGTTGATTAACGGTAGTTGAGGTACTGGACCCATTACGACCCTTCTGAATCTCGTCCATCCGCTGTTTCATTCGCCACAACTCGTCTGCATCCTCTTTTTTCTTCTTCTCCACTACTGGTTCCTTCTGTTTACACAACTTTTCGATCTGATTCCTCAATTTGGCCATCTCTTCCGATTCAGCTGATTTCTTGCCGTCAACTGCCTCCCGTACAACATCCAACTTCGTAATTAACTCCTGCCGCATAGCCTGCTGGAACTCCTCTCGATTCTTCTTTTCCTGTTCTCTTCTTGCTTCCTCCTCTCTTTCTCGTTTCTTATTTTCTTCTTCCTCGCGTTCCGCCCGTTCTCTTGCTTCATCAGTTTGCTGCTTGTTGTTGATCCGTGTAACAATCGCCTCCAAAGTGCCAACACGCTTACCCAACCCTACACCACCTCCGTAATATTGATTCGGATAATACGGGGCAGACGTGCCGACATTAGACGCTGGTGCAGGCGGATACGTGGCAATAGGCTGCGCAGGTACTAACGCATTGCTAAGCCGTTGACCATTGTTAGCACGTGGATAAGGACAAAAATGCGAAATATGACCTAATTGACCGCAGTTGTAACACTCACGAACAGGTGGACGCGGACCATTACCATCAGGAATACCATTAGACGCCATGACGAATAGAACGAAGTCACTCGACTGTAGTATGACCTCTACGTCGGTTCCTCCGCGTAACAAAGTCAATCAAGTGTAGCAAGAACGACAGTTGTCAAGAAGACAAAACACTCATAACATGCTGAGACGACAGAACGACAGGACAGACGACAAAACAACAAGACCAAACACTCATAACATGATGAGACGACAGAACAACAGGACAGCATAGCAAATCAGGGCCTGATACTCATGCCTCGACTTTTCAGACAAATGTATCTGTCAGCTACTTGCAGCGAGTTGTACTGCTGGTCACCGGCCAACTCGGTTAGGGAAGAGGTCAATCTTCCCTTATTTTGGGAAGTAATCAATGCCTTAAGCTCCAAAGAGAGATGTAAAAAAAAAAAAAAAAAAAAAAAAAAAAAAAAAAAAAAAAAAAAAAAAAAAA